AACCCGTTATTGACCCATTACCCGTCGGGTTCTGTTAACGGGTTATTAACGGGTCACGGGTCATGAACATCTGACCCTAACCCGTTTTAAACGGGCGGGTAACGAGCGGGTTAACGGGTTGGGTAAAAAATTGCCAGGTCTAGGCCTACCCCACTCAAAAATGCACAGCACACTGCAATTTTAGATTTCCAAATTGTTTGTTATTGCCAGGTTATCTTTCCAAGCTAAGTTGTTGTCTACAGCGGTGTTTAAGAAACGTGAAGGATTGATCAAAGCGTTTTGTTTGGTTGTGGGAATTTTTTGTTTCAAGTTTGTTTGTTACGAACTTTTGCTTTCTTGAGAAAACGTGTGGTTAAGTTTGTCAATTGATTGTTGTGATTTTTGTTGCATTAGGGTTGAGTACCCCTTGTAGTTGTATCAATAATTTTTTTTATTGATAAAAAAAAAAAAATAGATTTCCAAGTTAAAGTTCAAAGACCTATTCTTATTCATTTTAGTTTGAATCTTCTGTTTATTTGAGATTTTCTTCGAAGATTGTATCTTCTTGTTGATATTTGAGATTTTGAAAGCAAACAAGCATTGCTCCTCGGGGCTGCCCCGTTAATTTGGTTAATAATTTTCAATAAATTTCACTCCTTTATGTGTTTACTTGATTGGCTTGAATATTTACTTCCTCCATGCCTTCATTCATGTTGAAATTAATTCATCATCTTGAGATTGTTTTCTTTTGTTTTTGAAGCATGAATTAGTTTGTTAGATCTTAGATTGGTTAGCAATTAGATTGTGTTCTAGTCTAATTTAATATTAGATCTTCAAGTAGTTTATTTTATTTTAGTTTAATCTAGAAGTGCTCTCAATTTTTGGAATTAATTTGAAGTTGAATTTTTGAAATTCAGTATGGTCTACATTGTCGTAGCAGTAGTTTGTAAATCCACCTAGTCTCCAATATGCAAATTTCCCTTAAGCTTCTATGTTGTTTTTAGTTAATGTATTTAGGATATTATATTTAGTTTAGGATTTGTAGCCTTTTATACATCTTTATGGTTTAAAAGTCTTTGTAGTTGTTAAAGACAAGTAGTAATCCATTTTGCAAAACACTACCTTCTGTTATGCAATATCATTAAACAATTTACAAACAAAGTGAGTCACACGCCCTAAACTCAAACTCACGTGATAAAGGCGAACCAAGAATTTTTTAAGATGGATCTGGTGAGGATGGTGAACAACAAGGAGAAAGGAAAGGAGAGGAAGAAAGAAAGGTCTAGATTTGGGTGCGTTTGGAGTTAATGAAAAAAGCAACGGAGAGTGAGTGTGTGTAACAGAATGTGTAACTGATAAGGGTGTATGTATCATTGTCCATATTATAATATGGACAAACCAAATAAATCCTATCCTGCCTTGCTCATAGGGACATGAGTGCTCTACGATAGAGAACTACGAAGATAGGTCTCATACAAGGATCGTGATCGGGTTCTTGGAACCCAAATCGAGGGTTAAACCCACTGAAAGAACCTAGATCGATGCTCGGGGTTCTCTTCTCTATATGTACACTAAGGAAGGAAGGAAGGAGGGGCATGGATGAAGGAGTAGAAAAGGGGAGAAGAAAAATGAGGGAGATGGAAGGAGGAACCATCAATAATGGACGTGCGATGGTGCTGGTAAGGCTAGGTTCCTCATGTGACTGTAGCAACGAGGCTTGGTTCTTCACACGGTAGTGGTGGCAAGGTTGGGTTCCTCAAATGATGACAGTAGTGAGGCTAGTTTCCTTGCATGGTCTTGTAGCTCAAGGGAGAATCTGAATTTCACAGTTGAAGGAGGAAAGAGAGAGGGAACAATTAAGAGAGAAATAGATTAGGGTTAAAGACGGAGGGCTAGCGGCTAAGTTTGGAATTTCAATTTTATAATTTTTTTAATATAAATGGGTGCTTAAAATCCCATGTCATATTTAATATTTTAAGAAAATTGCCATATCATTATCATCTTTTATCACTTGGATTTTCATATTATTTACGTTAAAAAAATAGAAAGAAAAGAGATGATTTGTCAATTAACCACATCATAACAAACTTAATGAAGGGACCAAAAAGGGGGAAAAAAACTAATCTTGAGAGATAAGAAGGAAATTTTATTAGTTAAGGTATTAAGAAGGAGCTCCTTAGGGACGAAGGGGTAATGGGGTGTTTGGTTTGGAATTTCCTAAACGGTTTTAATTAGGTTAAATTTAATTTTTCATCTAAAACTATTATTCTCTTATCATTTTAGTCTAAAAAGTTTAGTTTTTTTCAAATTCATTTATAACTTTGAAAATCATATCAAAGTCATCTATCTAATAAACTTCTGTTAGGTTTTTTTAATGGAATCCCATGTCAATGCTTATGTGGCATCAATCAACACTTCTGTGGCATATGCAATTTTGAAAAACTATACTTCAATCTCAAAAACTTCACAAAAATTTCAGTTAAATTCTATATTCAAGTCACTCTGCAATACAATTTAATCAACTAATTAAATGGACTAAATTATAATAAATGAAAATTAATGATAAATAATTAAGATTATTAGCTTAATTTCTTAATTATTTAAGATTATAATATTATTTATATCAAATTAAAATTTAAAAAATCTTTTACATGTAAAAATTTTAAAAATGTATTTTCTCTATCTTAAAATAAAAAAAAATTAATTTATCTTTAAATTAAGGATTTAGAAACAATTTTTATTATTACATATTTTATCCTAAAAAAAGAAATAAAAATAAAGAACTTTTTTAAGAATAATGATAATTGGGATTAAAATTTGAAGCCAAAATCTAAAACCAATGACATGACTTATGCCACGTCATTTGAAATATTAAAAAGTAAACCTTATACTATTTAATGGTTGGTTTTTTTTAAGATCTATAATATTATATGTATAAACTAATTTAATGACATGACTTATGTCACATCATTTGAAATATTAAACTGTAGTATCTATATTATTTAATAATTTTTTAAAACATGTGATATTATATACATCAACTAATTTAATGATATAGTTTATGCTATGTCATTAGTCCACAAATTTTTGTCCTCCTTATCATTACCCTTAGATGATAGGAAAGATTATTAAAATTAAGATATAATCATAAAATTAAAGTAAAAAACAATAGTTATCTCCTTTAAAATATGCAAAAAAAAAAAATCACTATTATTTTAGGACAAATTTTAGATTAAAAAATGTCTATTCTTCTAGGACATAGAAAGTACATTCTAACTTTACTCCATTCATCCCAAAATAATTATCATTTTATGATTTTGAATTTGTCTCAAATTAATTAATATTTTTTTATTTTTCAAGGCAAGCAAATATATTTTTTTCTTTAATCTTATTATTATCTATTTACTTTAATTAATCATCCAATTGCAAAAAATCTCTCTTTATCTTTTATCTACTTCTAAGAGTAATATAGGTAAGCATAAATTATCCTTAAATTTTTAATTTTAAAAAATAAAAATAAATAAAATTTATTGTTTAAAAAAAGTATAGTTAAAAATTAATTTTTTGAACTAAATAAAAAAATGACATAATTTTATCCTAATAATAACAGTGATAATTTTTTAGTTGTTAATTGAAACTAAAACATATGGATTTATTACAAAATTAAAAATTAAAAAAAAAATTTCTCACCGAAAAAGTGAAAACATTGTTAAGATGAAAAACAAAAAAAAAAGGAAAGAAGTACAATTTTTTAAAATTGCATATGCCACATAACTAGTGCCAGATAAGCATGCCTTGGGATTCCATTAAAAAACACAAAAATTTATTAAATATATGAATCT